AAAATTTTTTGCTTTCAGAAAATATTGTCCATATTCATAAAAAAAACTAAAAGCAAATAAAAGCATTTGAAATTAAATAATATATTTGTTTTATTGAGTTTTGTATGTTACAATTCAGAGCTGATTTTCAGGTGGGGGGTCCAATTAAAAACAAACAAAAAAACATGATTTGCATTTCTCAAAGCCTTGTGCTTTTAACTATAGTAATCAGTAAATTCGCATCGATCGAATTTCTAGCGTTTCCATAAAATTAGTTATGGGGGTGGATAATAAATATTTCTGCCATGACTTTAATAAAAAAACTTATAATAATTTCGATCATCTGTGAATAGTTTCTGAAAGTTTCATTAACGTCCGACAATTATTTTTTTTTTTTTTTCAAATTTTTCAATGTGTGTTACACAAAAAAAGTGCTAAAAATTGTCTGTTATTTTAATAGTTCCGTTGATATAAAGAGAAACAAGGTTTTTTTTTAATTTAAAATGTTTAAAAAAAGGAATCGTATCTTTTTCATAATTTTAAAAACATGTGTTTTGAAAGCTTTTCCTTGTAATAATATTCAGATTTTTAGAAATAAAATTTTGTTTTAATGGATATTCATTAGCTTTTCAAAAATCTTGTTTTTTTTTAGTAACACTAAAATTAAATTTTTAGTTTTACATTGCTTGTACTGTTGTCTTCATTTTTATTGTCATATTCACGACGTTTCGGCCGTTGTACGCTCAGGCTATATTCAGGTAATATACGTTGGAATTTTCCATTGGAATCTTATCTCCAAATACATTTCAATATTGTTCTCGTTCCACCCGCCATGACATTTTTGGATACTTCAGTTTCAGTATTTTCCTCTCCAAGTTTCTGTTCACCTCTAATGTGGCCAACTCTTTGGATTACTTCAACCAACGCTTTTATTCACTGGTCCATGTGTCTTTGGTTAGGGTCTTACATAAATATATAGAGATACTCCTGTGTCTGGAGAAGTCATATTTAGGACTCAAACTGTGAGTTGGGTTTTTCTATATTTGGGAATGATATATTCCAAAAGTGAAAACATCATGGAGGGTAGCATTTTTAGCCTGAGCCTAGGCTCCTTTTTAAAAAAGAACCCCAAATTTGGCGAATGCAGTTTAAATTTCAAACTGAATTTGATTGCTAATTCAGTCGTTGTTTTAAATCACTAATTTTGTCATGTGAAATCTCCACCAAAAAGTATAATTTCCTTTGTATTTGTACAATTAAGGATTTACATATGCAACATTATTTATGTGCCGTGTCTCAAAGAACTTGAGCGCTCATGGCTTCAAATGTCCCACCTTTTTTTTAAAGCAATGTTTCATTTTATCTATTAGCTGTTCTACCAACCAATTAAAAAATTAAGCCCTCCTGGTTTACTGTTTTCCTCTGCGTTTCTTGCCTTCAATGTGAAAAATGGGAATGCCAAGTGCTTAATCTTGGAAAACAATTTTTAATGAATAATGACTCGAATTTTTTAATTAGAGAGTCAAGTTTTTTTTTTTTTTTTATATTCACTTACGGCCTTTTATGTGCCACTTCTACTTCCAACTGTTTTCTGGTTAATTATTAAGACTTTTTTACTAAATCATTATTTTTAAAAATATTTATTATAAAAAATATATTTTCTGGCTTTAAATAAAAGTGCAAAGGGCTAATAAAATGGGGATAAAAACGAATCAATAAAAAATTTTCTTCAGTATATCCCTGTGATTCAAATTCTAGTAAAAATATAATCTTTCCTTATTATGTCCCAGATATTTCAGTTCTCTCATTCTGATTTTAAGTATAAGTCTCCTTCATTTTCCTTTAAAATTTATTTGTTGTTTATATGCTTCTACTATGCCATCCTCAGCATCCTTCTGTTGAATGACATTTCTGTTGCCTCAAGTCTTCTCTGCATCTATGAAGAAATAGTCGAGCATTCACTGCCATATAAGAGGATTGATATCTTTGTTTCTAATGACATTTTCTTGTTTATTTTTTTTTTAATAGCTTTGCTTTTTTTCAAAAAATGTCTTTAGATACTAAAAACACAAGCACCTTTTATCATCTATGTCTCACATTTTCCGGCGTTTGTTGCAGCAATTTGATTTCTCCAATTCGTAGCCCGCATCTTAAGCTGTTCCTCTTGCTGACAACCGTACGATCTGTCTTCTTACCGTTGGCGGTTAATACTTTCGTTTTCCAATACCACCTTGTCTCGGAGTTCCTGCAGTTTTCGTTCTGCATCCCAGTGTCATCTTCGTATCTTACTTTGTTAGTATTGCGCTCACCGATAATAAATTCCAGTAGTACAACCCTTGTAATGTTTCTCAATATTGATAGTTATACTATTATATATATTTTATAATTTCTGTCTCAATTTCTGGGATGAGGAATTTACACTATTTACATTCAGACTATTGTCTTCGTCTTTTTTGTTACCACAACGTTTTGGATGCTGTGTCCTTCGGCCTTCATCATATGTATATCGATCCGGACAATCTACAGGGAATCCCAAAATGAACAATTTATTTAATCTACGGGATAGACTGTTCTCGTTTCACTTCCCATGTCTAAGGACGTCTCGTCTAGTCCTAAAAATGGTGATGAACTTATTTTTAATTATTAAGTAAAAACTATATTTACTAATCGTGAATGGAAAAGCTTCCTAAAATTGAGCGACCCTCAGTATTTTAAAAATAATTTCATTTTTTTGCGTGTATAAACGTGTCAATTTTACCTAAAATTCAATAAAACAATAAATTACTTTATAAATATTTTCCTAAATTTCAAAGATTACTGGGTAGTTAAAAAATTATAAAAATACGCTCACGTTATATACAAGTAATTTTTACAGATATGTCTTTCGTAGAAAAAATATATGAATATAAGTCTATCAAGATAGTTATCAAAACCCCGTGAAAACACCCACCTCCTTGTTAAAAACATACTTTTCTGCTATATTTTAAACTAAAAGTAATATTTGTTTCAAATCAAATTAATTAAACTTAAAATCCGCTAATATTTCTCAAAGATTCAAAAAACTATATTTTATTTTTGAAAGATTTTTTAATGAAGATAATTACGTTGTGTGGACAGATTTGTAAATATGGCTAAAATCAGCCATTTTTAGAGATAAAAAAAACAAATTCCACTCAATTAAAATTCATTTTGAAATACTTTAAAGTATTTTGCTTATTGGAAATATTAAGTTTATTCTATTAGCTTGAAATTAAAACTGAAATAAAGTCTTTAAGGAAGATTTTTAAAAGTTAATTTTAAGCCTTTTTTATTTAATTTTTTTTGGGCTTTGGGGCATTTCTACACCGGAAAATAATTAACACAAATAATATAATGCACAGACATTTTGGTATCTCCAATATTTTCTCCATTAAACCTTTTTATACACCCTTAGAGGGTCTTGCTTTGTGCATTTTTTTTATATATATATATATATATATATATATATATATATATATATATATATAGTGTGTGTATGTATATATATATGTGTATATGAATTATATCCTAGTATAGGATTGATGCAGATGGAATGAAATTCCAATAACCAAAGACACTGTTCTTAAAAGAGCGCTCAATACTAAGTGGAGCAATTATTATTTATTCAAAAATTATAACATAAACATGTTATAAAATCACTACAAAAATAACCATTTTGTTTCAACACTTCTGGTGTCTTCGCAAGTGTTGAATAATATATATGCCCTATTTTAGGTTCATGGTTCAGATTCGTTTAAAAAGACCTTGATACTTCATTCTATTGTGAATTTCGATTACGTATCTCTTGATTGGAACTGATTGAAAATATTTCTAGGTTAATTCCATACCTGTTAACTGGGATATTTTCTGTTAATTCACCTCAAATAATATAAAGTTACTCATCGCAAATACCATTTCACCCCAAGAAATTATAAATTTTAAGTCAATTTCGTTTTAATTAGATTTTTTTGGGCACTTTTTTGGAATTATAAGAATGAAAAATTACCAAGTAGGGAATCACATAGCGCACCCGAGTCGCCCACATTTTTCTTTCGATCGCAAACATCAACCCAACCGGTGTGAAATGGAAGGGCCTCGCTCTGGGAGAATTTGGTGGGAATTTCAGTAAATATAAATTCTTTTTATTTTGAGGTGAATTAACAGAAAAGATCAGTTAGCTGCCCATCCATCACGTAGATTTTCTCTTTGGTTTTGTTGATCACTTTTGATTTTTCGTTTTCGCCTTCCCAAGTGTCAAGTCTTTATCACATTGTATTTCGTCTTTAAGCACTTGATTTTCTTTAATATTTGACAACATTGATCAATGGATTCAGTCAAACTTCACGAACAAATTTCTTTCTTGTTCTTCTTTATTTCTGTATATTACCTTTTTCTGTCTCCTGATAACATTCTCATTTTGTACACACTTCCACTCTCATTAGCATCTTTCTTTTTCTTCTTTTTCTTTCTCGACGTCCACACTCCAGCCTGGCTAACCTTTTTCTTTCTTTTTCAACTCTTTGTCTTCTTTTCTTTTTACTCTTTCTACTCCCGCCACTTGCTAACATATTTTCACTCTTCTTTCTCTACTGGTTAATCCAACCCACACTAAGAAAGTCCTTTCTTCTTTTGCTGCTTTCTTATACCCACCTTCTTGAACATCTTTTTCTTTCTTCTTTTTCTACTCACTTATCCTACCCAAGCTATCTTTCTTCTTCCTCTACTTTCTTATTTTCACCCTCTATAACATCTTTGCCTATCTTCTATTTTTACTGCCCAGGCGAATATCTATGTCTTTCTTTGTTCTTTTACTCTCCCTACTCGTTCACTTTTTCTTTTTCTCTCTTCACTCATTCCTAGTTGCTGACATCTTTCTGTGTTTCACTTTTTTTTAATTCCATTTTTTTCTAGTATTTAATTCCAGGCCTTCTTTCTCTTTCACTTGCCATTTTTTTTTTTTTTTTTTTTTACTCCTCCCATTTCTCTTTTCCTTTTTCCCATCAATGAACCCTGCCCGGCAGCTGTTCTTGCTGCTGCCGTCGCTGCTCCTGGTGGTGGTGGTGGTAAAAAAGCCAGCCACATCATCGGCGTCCCCGTCATGGCCAGACACATCGACTCGGTACTTTCTTGAAAAATGAATTTACTATGAAGATAGTACTTTACACTTCTTTTACCTAAATTTAATTCTGTTTTTTTTTTTCCTTTCTTTCTCTCATGTACTTTATTTTGAAATTATTTTTTTTAAATTCTAGTGCGTCTATCAATTGAAAAAAACAAAAACAACAACAAAAAACAAAAAAACAAAAAACGAATTAATAAGCACTTAGTAAACTCTTTTTGGGAGAGAAATGACAGAAATAACTTCAGCGTATATTGAAAACAAAGAAAAAATTTTTTGATGTTAGCAAATTGAGAAATTTTAATTTCCATTTTTCCTAAATTAGGAAGAAAAAGAAAATACGCCTTTAAAAAAGGCGCTCAGCGTTTAAGTGTCAAAGAGGAAATTCTAAAAAGCTAACAAATAATAATAATAAAAAGAACCCCCCCCCCGAAATGCAGACAGGGAGGGAGAAGACGATGCTTAGACGAATAAAGCTTTCTTCTATCGAGATAATGTGTGAGGATTTTCACTGGATAGTTTACTACTTCCAAAAGATTTGGTGCTCTTACATAGTGTACACTTCTGCAAAGGACCATTAGTGTGGTGTGCACCTAAGGTGACGCTAGAGTCAAGGCCTTTGTGACATAGCCGACTATTACGTCAGGTTGTCTAGCAGAAAGCGGACGTTTTTCAATTAATTGAAGGTAGGTCTCTTTTCTTTCCTCCGATACACAAGTTGATGGTTTGGGATGTTTCATTATTTTTATTTTTTTTCATAATTATTTTCTTTTTTGTTGTCATTCTGAAATTTATTATCGTTTTTAATTTTGTTTTATTTTCTTTATTAAAACACTTGGTTTTATTTTTTTTATAAAAAAAAACACTTTGAATGCAAGCATATATTTCGTCTGTCGATCGGCTGAGAAAGCGGTGTTTTCATAAAGTTTGCATACATGTTTATGCGGAGCGACAGCGTGTGTTTGGGTGTGTGTGACTGTTAAAAGTACTTATTTAATATTTACTGCCTTTTGAGTTAAATATTAGTTTCGATTTTTATTTAATTTTTGCTTTTCCAGACGTTCAATTATGATTTTGTCAGTTGTCAATTCGTTTAAAAAAAAAAAGTAATTTTAAGGCAATTAATTGCCTTCAAACATTAAAGTTAGTTTTATTTATTTTACTTTTAGTTTTAACCCACTCATCTTTTAAGTAATTTATTTATTTTCTGTGTAAATTTCTTCCTTTTTTTTTGTTTGTTCATCCGTTTTCTTTTTTGAACATAATTTTTCGATCTCTCTGCATGAGCAACTATTTACGTACCTGTTATTAAATCCTTAACGGAAAAACAGTTACATTTTCCAAAATTACCTGCCACATGTTTATAATCAAGAAAAAAAAAAGTTGTTAAATAGCCCCGATTTGCATTGAAGTACTTTAAAATTAAACTTGTATAAATGATAATTATGAATTTTCGTTCTCAACAAAAAAAAAAAAAAAAAAATAATGACGATTTCAGTGTTTTCAATATAAATCCTACTGTGCATTTCCGGAAACCTAAGGAAATCTCTTAAGAAGAGGGCGATTATGGCTCTCTACAACTTCCTATCCTTCGTAGCTCTAAGCAGTATTTGTCCTTCACAATCTCTTCGAATCCATGTTCTGCCACCCACATACACAAACTTGTTAGATTTTTTGCTGTTTCCCTCTACTCGTCTTATCTCTAATATTTCATGTCAGTGTCAAATTCTTCAAGCCTTCTTTCCTGATAACGTGTCCCAGAAATTTAAACTGTCTTTTTGTTTTCCATTTCTTACAATGTTCGTTAATAAAACAAACTTGAAATTCTTTGTTCAAATAAAAAAATTCTGAACAATTTCGGAATTTAAAAAAATATTTTTTCGTTAATTAAAACTAAAAGTCTCTGAACATTTTCGGGAGATTTTTAAAAAAAATTTCTTGTTTTTGCTAATTCTATCAATTTAAACATATTTGCATCGAACACTCAGTTTTCCGGTATTTGCAATGTGATTTTATTTATCGATTATATTTTATATATCAATATCGATTATATTTATCGATTAGGTTACTACTAATAAAGTGGTCAAAATTATAATTCTATTACAACATTTTAACATTTGAAGTAAAAAGATTGAAAACCATTTTTTTATTTGTATTTAAAGAGATAATCCGCAACATTGATTGCAAACGATACATTTCGAACTTGTAAATAATTCTTCAATAGATAATGTTAGAGATTAGGCGTCTTGCCATGGAATAACGTTCGAAAGCCTACCTCACAGACCATGACTAGTTCAGTCCTCCCGAGGTACCCCGCCCCATACTAAAGTCCTTGTACCAAAATTAAGCTCTACTTAAGTAAAGCAGATTTGTGCTTAAGCCCACAGGTGCCCATTTAATATTTCTCGTCCCAACTATCCTCTGATATTTTCCAACTCTTAATAAAATAGAATGGTATCCAATAGAAAAAAGAAAGATAATAAGTCAGGGTCGTTTTTTTTTTCTCACTCTTAAGAAATGATTCGAAGAACACAGACTAGAAATAAATTAGAAAATTTGATTTCGATATTGCTACACACACACATTTTCAGTTGATTTTGTAAGTTTGTATAATGAAATAAAGTAGCCATAATTATTATTATTATACACCTGATGAAGGCACAACGACTGAAACGTTGTAATAAAAGTAACAAAGATGGGGACAATAGTCCGAAATAAACAGTGTAAATAATAAATGAAAAAAAAAATTGCAGCCTGGAATAATATTGTTTTTGTTCGAATTTATATTAGTTATTTACTTAATCAAGCTTTTCTTTCATTTTGGATACTGTCCCCGGTCAGTCAAGCTCTTAAGGTTTAATTAGCGATCGATGAATATCGATCTAAGCATTGCGATAAAATCATCAATAAAGATAAAAAAAACTTTTTTTTTTTTTTTAAGATATTAAAAATGGTTCCTCAAAAATAAAAAATTCGGACAACTCAAGACCATTCTATCGGCTACAAGATATAAACAGACAATACAGTGTGAAATAAATCCGGCAGATGAGTAAATAGAATAAAAAAGAAATTGAATGTCGGTGGTTGGTTAACTTTTGTAGCCTAATTGGTAATTCGTAGTTGTAAGTCGGACAGGATCTCAACATGGATGCGAATTCAAATTTTGTTGGTGTCATTATTTTTCATCCGTACTATCTGCTTAATAATTGTAGAATGTAAAATAAGTGTTTAAAAAAAAATGGATATACAAGTAAGAGAAAGTTGGAAAAAAAGAGAGTATGAAGATGAATAGGTGTGAACTTTGCGAACTCAAAGACAAACCTAAATCCTACGGTTTAAAGACCGAAAAATATAACGACCGTAAAGACGTATTAAAAAAAATACTATTAAAATCATTCATGTCCACATGGGATGAAAAGTATTTTAAATGCAGAAGTAATGAAGCTCGTTGCACTCCTTGCCATGGTATTCTTTGTAGCCTTCTGTAAAGACACATCTTTGTTGCTTCATGTCTTCTCTTCATCTATAAGAAAATTGTCCATCATTAACTGCCATACATGAGGACTGATATTACATAACAGTTCAGCATTTTTCTTTTTTTTTTCTAATGATATTTTCCTATATTTTAATACCTTTACTTTTGGAGAAAAAAATCTGTGGCTATTCCAATGCGTCTTCGTATTTCTGTTACGTTCTCTGTCATTTGTTGCAACTCTTCCCAGATGGCCAAATATCTTTCTGATTTTGATGTCCCCAATACGTAGCTTGCATCCTGCGGTGTCTCTTTTGCTAATGACTATACATTCTGTCTTCTTACAATTGATAGCTTCTTTTCCCTCTCTTTTACTACAGTGTCTAGTTCTTGCAGATTTCTTGCAACACAGTATCGTCTGTGTATCTGATGTTGTAGAGATTGTGTCTCCCAATAATAAATCCTGACCTCGGCGGGGTGGGTGTTTCTTTCTTGTCTTAAACCCTTTTCTATATTTTTTTTTTTTTTGTACTTGATCAACTCGCTTTTCTATCCATATGCAGGCGGTTTATTCCTGACATCTGCAGCGGATAAAGTTGAATACTTTGCTCGGAAATTCTCTTCCATACCAAAACTCTACTCATTTGGAGTATCCACACATGAATTTCCCCCTAGAAAAGAGGCATTTCTCAGTGATGTGCGCATAACCTCGTCACATGTCTCGGGCGTTATTTCTAATTTAGACTCTCATAAGGCATGTGGAGGTGACGGGATCCCAGCCGTCGTCCTAAAGAAATGTCCTCCACGCTGGCTCCAGTTCTCTCCTCACGGCTGTGTCATGTTCAAACATCGGTTCCTGTACGATCACTGAAGTTAAACAACGTCGAACCTGCTCAGTACCTCGATGGAAAGGTGCTGTAAGCTTGGGTGTGCGGGTGATGTAATGGATAATAGCTCGGATTTGCTAATCGGAGAGTCGAATTCCAAATCCATTTGGATTCGTAATATTCACATGACCAAGAGCAAGATATAAATCCACCTCTTCTACCCTCAGCTATGGTTTAATTATTAAAACTTGTATCACTTAACCATTATTATATAAAAAAAATCTGACTTTAAATAACTGGAAAAGGCTTGATAAACCGTAAAAAATGAATCGATAAAGCAATCCCTCAATACAGTAAAGATTCCCGAATGTTACCTTACCTTTCACACAGGAAAGTCTCTTCATTCTCCATGAAAAAACATTGAGTCGGTTTGAAACGTGGTAGTATTTTTTAATTGAATTTCAAAGATGATATTTAGATATTTGCACCTAGGATATACGTTTTAATGTAATGGATAGTGAATCTAAAATATCTGAGAACCAAGTTCGAACTCCCGTCGGGTTCGTTACATTCACTTACTCGCAAATATCTTTGAGAAATGTATGAATCCGTTTCTTCTCTCCCAGCCATGAGTTAAATATCAGGATGGGCTGGGTCCTATAGCTTTGGTAGACAACCAGTGTACGGCGGAAAGAAACGGCAACGGCATAGTCAGTAGTGGATCGAAAGAGACATGATCGCCCAAACGTCTAACATGTATGGCACTTAAGTGATTGACACAGATTTAGATAATCACATATATGATATATGTTCTACTACCTTTCACCATTTTTTCACTTCCTAGCACTTAGCATCTTTTAGGGAGATGAACTGGTTTAAGTAGTTCTTATAAGTTTCTCGAGAATTGAAGAATTGAATCAAGAGAATGGTAATCCGTGGAGTACAGTATGTGTAGTGGGTCATCCGGAGGCCAGAGGAGTACGGCGTGTATAGTGGCTCATCCCAGTCAAGCTGGACCAATGTCTGTCAGGTCTGACATCGTCCTAATGAAAGACTCTTGAGAAAGGTATTGATTTCGTAAAAATCCTACTTTAACAGCGGGACTTAAGTTTTGGAATTAGAAAATACTTATATATTCACATATCTTCTGAACTCTGTGCACAAAATAATAGGAAATATGTACTGTATTCATTTTTTTTAATCATTTCACCCTAAGCAAGGCAGGAATGCCACTAGAACGCAGAGTATTACAGAGAGTGAAAGTGAGAAAAAAGACTGGGTATAGAGGGGGGGTGGGGGCGAAGAAAGGATAAAAGCTGAACGGGGTTCAAAAAGATAGAAGATGGCGATTGAAGTTGCATTAAAATTTTTGAAAATTGTAGTTATCAGGAAAGCAAGGAAACTAAGGAAGTTCCACAGGCGAGAAAATAAACTGTTGAAGTAGAAGTGGCGATTTCATTTAACTGTCAACAGTAAAAGGGTGGGACCTAAATGCCAATCTAGTACCACGCTTAAACTCACGTAGTCTGTTCACCAGGGAGAAAAAAAAATCGTCAGAGCAGTTACCATGAAAATATTTGTAGAAAAGACAGAGGGAAGTCACGTCATGTTGGTGAGAAAGTGACTGAAATCGAGATGACAAGTCAGGTTCGATTACATTGCAGATTCTTTTTTGGATTTTGTCAAGAACCTCGAGATGAGTTTTCTTCTTCTTCTTGCGGCCTCAGCCAAGATTGAACTCACCAATACTTTGATTGGTTTAGTTCATAATCTTGTCAAATAGCTGAATTCTTGATGCTTCGCTAGGGCTATCAAGGGTGTTTTTTATCGTGACACCAACACTAAATGGATTGCCAGCCAAGGCTCAGAGAGACTCCATTCACCCTCCTCTAAGAGCAGGTTTGAATTCAGAGTTTTCCTTCTCCTAGGCCAGTTGCCATCCAAGGCTATAAAACCCAGTCTGTCCTGCTATTTACCCATAGCTGGAGGGAGAAGAAAGAGGATTCACACCTTTCCCAAGGGTGTTAGCACGTAAGTGAATGTAATGGATTCGACTGGAATTCGAACTCGGCTCTCCGATTCCTCAATCCAAGCCGCTATCCATTACTCCACCGTGCCTCCACCGTGCTCCTCCTACTCCGAGATGAGTAGCAGGAGCACCTGACCAAATACAGCATTCAATGCACGGACGAATGGTAGATTTGTAAATAGGCAAGATGAACTTTGACGACAAAAACCTTCTGACAGACACAGTAACCCAACTTTCCTAGCAGTAGATGCACCTATTGCTTCGATGTAGTCGTTCCACTTCACGTCAGTTGAAAATGTGAAGCCAAGACGGCGCCGTGTGTTGCTTTTCATGAGTCTAGCATCAGCCGTATTGCTGGTGAGCAGGAAAGTTTCTGTGTTCGTTAAATGAGAGCAGTTCCGTTTTGGAGATATTAAAACTGACGGATTTGCTGTTGAGACAGGAGTAAATGATAATGTCATCAGCTTAAATGCCGACTTAGGAACTGATGACACCAAGAAAATAATTGATGAGGACCAGAAACAGCGTAGAACCCATGATAGAGCCTTGGAGGGATACCCACATTCGTGTGAAAGGATCTGGAAGCGAGCCTGTTCAAAACGACCTTCATTTCACGATTTGATAGAAACGGTTGAATTAAATGAAAACAATCGTCCAGTAATATCATAGCCCTGGAGCTTACGTAGAAGCGTGGCAAACTCTGTCAAATGCCTTCGAAATATCTAGAGCCACAGTTCGATCTTTGCCGTTATTATCAAGAGCTTGCTATACATATTCAGTGATGACCGTTAGCACATCAGCGGTAGACCGGGCAAAACAGAAGCCATATTGTTTGTTTTAGTATGCTGTGAGAGGTAAGATGATTACCTACTTCAGCATTGATCAAAGCCTCGAATATTTTGCCGAAAAGCGGTAAGAGACTCATAACAAGCAGGAAGCAGCGAGACAATAGTTGTAGAGTTCGGAGAGAACTGGAGCCAGCTCGGAAGGACATTTCTATATGACGACGGCTGGATCCCGTCATCTCCACTTGCCTTATCATAGTCTAAATTAGAAATAAACGGCAGACATGTGACGGGGTTATTCGCATATCGCTGAGTAAAGCCTCTGTTCTTTGGGGGGGGACAGGTGTGGATACTCCAAATGAGTCGAGTGTTGAGTTGGAAGAGAATTTCCGAGCAAAGTTTTCAACCTTATCTGCTGCAGATGTTAGGATTTCGAATTGATTGAATAGAGGAGTGATTGATGACTTGCTGTTGTTCAACACACTCTTGTTGAGTCGCCAATATTCTCTAGAACCGAACATGCGAGATGCTATACGTTGTTTCATTCTATCAGCAAACTGTAAGACAAAGAGACGTCTGTTGCAATCAGACGTGTCGCTCTGGTACAGCGGAACGAAATGATTCCTGTGGGCTATAGCGGACAAGCATGCAGGTGAGAACCAAGTGAATGAATGTGGTTTAACTTGGTATTGCTGAAATGAAAGCATCGATGCCGGCTTTCACCCAGGAGGAGACCTCATACGCGCATTTTTGAACAGGATGGTTATAAAACTGCCCTCCAGGGGACGTCACGAAGGAAGTTACCGAACGAGTCTCAATCTGCTCGTTGATAACAGAAAGACATTCTGCTGGTGGTGAGGGGAGCGGAAAAAGATGTTTACAGACTGCTGCATGATCAAAGTTGCCCAGAAGACAGAGCTGCATAGGACGACTTGAATCCAGGATAGAGGCAAAACAGATCTAGAAGAGAAGCGTGTCGATCAGGGTTACTGGAGAAACGCGCGGGGAAGCCCACCAGTCGCGTGAGAGATTGAGTGATTTAGAAGGTAATGATTTAGATGCCAGCGGGGTCAGTGATAGTGTTTAAGCCACCTGGCATGGCGAGCATTAAAGTCACAAAAACAAATATATTTGCAAACGGGTGTAAAGAGATGGCCTTTTCTATATTATCAAAAATACTATCTAGCACACAACTCATAACAGGAAGGGGGACGGTAGAGAAAGAAGAGATAGCTGATTAAGTTTAGTAGAGAGAGACGGAGACACATGTAAGAGTCGTGTGAAGATTCAAGAGTTCCCTCGCCAACGGGAGATGTTCACGGACATAAACTCACAGATCATGCGTGTGGACATTAGAGTCCCTCCTAAGGAGAGGAACATACCCAGGAATTGAAAAATCAGAGGAGGGGATTGAAGAGTTAAGATCAGTTTCGCAGAGATCTAGGATGTCCGGAAGCTTTTTGGAAGAGATTCAACATTGCAGAAGTTGGTACGAATACCACGGATGTTGGAGAAAGAAAGGGTTAGGGGTTTAGGTGATTTGTTGAGCTGGTTAAAGTTTTTACCTTTTAGTATCTTATAATCATGGTGTGTTGATTTGGCAAGGAAAGGCGTAGTGTAGTAATAGTGGTCGTCTAATGTAACATGCACAGGAAGTGAACTGGCGCAGACTGCAACATAGTGTGGCCTCGGGGTTGACCACTGGAGGTTCTTGCATGGATACCCTCCCAAGAGCGACATGGCACTACAAGAACCCTGATATTATGCAACTGTTGATCAGAGAAGCTCTCAAGATGCTACGCAAGAATTTGTGCTCCTAACTACAAGCCGATAGCAGTAACCAGAAAACTGCCAGCTTAGTATGAAGAGATGCTGCTACCATCCACATATATTACAAAAAATTTATGGCAGCACCACTATTAGGGTCTGAAGAAAGTAAAGGAACCGGAAACCCCCTCCTGCGAAGGATTTTCAGATCATCCGAAATAACATGTCGTATAATCCACTTTTTAAATTATGAAGTTTCTTTAACGGAAATTCTGGAATTTTCTAAAAAAAAAAAAAAAAAAAATAGAAAATGCTATTTTTTTTTTATGAGGAAGTGATAGAGAGTTCTCGATCTAACCAAATTTGTAAACATTAGAAAATGTTATTGAAATCTTTCTTAGTCGAGCTGAAAACTTTTCAGCACACCTCGTAGTTATGACACCGTCATTTTTACGGCATAGATTAAAAAAAAAATTAGTTTTGTTTTAGGATATTAAGTGCACACCATTTGTAAATTTCGAGTAATGTTTCTTCATTCTCTCTTTTTTCTTTCCTTCTCTCTCCCCTTTTTGCTTTCTTCTCTCTCTTCCTCCCCTTTTTGCTTTCTTCTCTCTCCCTCCCCTTTTTTTTCTTCTCTCTCCCTCCCTTTTGCTTTCTTCTCTCTCCCCTCCCTTTTTTAGCTTTTTCTTCTCTCTCTCTCCCCTTTTTGCCTTTCTTCTCTCTCTCTCCCCTTTTTGCCTTTCTTCTCTCTCTCTCCCCTTTTTTAATTTTCTTCTCTCTCCCCTTTTTGCCTTTCTTCTCTCTCTCTCCCCTTTTTGCCTTTCTTCTCTCTCTCTCCCCTTTTTGCCTTTCTTCTCTCTCTCTCCCCTTTTTGCCTTTCTTCTCTCTCTCTCCCTTTTTTTCTTCTTCTCTCTCTCCCCTTTTTTATTTTCTTCTCTCTCTCTCCCTTTTTTTCTTTCTTCTCTCTCTCTCCCCTTTTTTTTTCTTCTCTCTCTCTCTCTTTTTTTCTTTCTTCTCTCTCTCCCCTTTTTTTCTTCTTCTCTCTCTCTCTCCCTTTTGCCTTTCTTCTCTCTCTCTCCCTTTTTTTCTTTCTCTCTCTCTCTTTTTCTCTCTTTCTTCTCTCTCTCTCCCTTTTTGCCTTTCTTCTCTCTCTCTCCCTTTTTTCCTTTCTTCTCTCTCTCTCCCTTTTGCCTTTCTTCTCTCTCTCTTTTTGCCTTTCTTCTCTCTCTCTCCCTTTTTTCTTTTCTCTCTCTCTCCCCTTTTTTTCTCTTTTCTCTCTCTCTCTCCCTTTTTCCTTTCTTCTCTCTCTCTCCTTTTGCCTTTCTTCTCTCTCTCTCCCTTTTCCTTTTTTTCTCTCTCTCTCCCCCTTTTTTTTTTTCTCTCTCTCTCTCTCCCCCTTTTTTTTTCTCTCTCTCTCTCTCTTTTTTTTTTTTTCTTCTCTCTCCCCTTTTTGCCTTTCTTCTCTCTCTCTCCCTTTTTTTTCTCTCTCTCTCTCCCTTTTTCTCTTCTTCTCTCTCTCTCCTTTTTGCCTTTCTTCTCTCTCTCTCCCTTTTTTTCTTTCTTCTCTCTCTCTCTTTCTCCTTTCCTTCTCTCTCTCTCCTTTTTGCCTTTCTTCTCTCTCTCTCCCTTTTTCTTTCTTCTCTCTCTCTCTCTTGCTTCTTCTCTCTCTCTCTCTTTTGCCTTTCTTCTCTCTCTCTCCCCTTTTGCCTTTCTTCTCTCTCTCTCCTTTTTCTTTTCTTCTCTCTCTCTCTCCTTTTTTCTTTCTTCTCTCTCTCTCCCCTTTTTCCTTTTTCTCTCTCTCTCCCCTTTTCTTTTTGCCTTTCTTTCTCTCTCTCTCCCTTTTTTTCTTTCTTCTCTCTCTCTCCCCTTTCCTTCTCTCTCTCTCTCCCCCCTTTTTCTCTTTCTTCTCTCTCTCTCCCCTTTTTGCTTTCTTCTCTCTCTCTCCCCCAAAATTCTTCTCTCTCTCCCTCTTTGCCTTTCTTCTCTCTCTCTCCCCTTTTTGCCTTTCTTCTCTCTCTCTCCCCTTTTTGCCTTTCTTCTCTCTCTCTCCCCTTTTTGCCTTTCTTCTCTCTCTCTCCCCTTTTTGCCTTTCTTCTCTCTCTCCCCTTTTTGCCTTTCTTCTCTCTCTCCCTTTTTGCCTTTCTTCTCTCTCTCCTCTTTCTTTTCTTCTTTCTTCTCTCTCTCTCCCATTTTTTTTGTTTCTTCTCTCTCTCTCCCTTTTGCCTTTCTTCTCTCTCTCCCCCTTTTTTTTCTTTCTTCTCTCTCTCTCTCCCTTTTTTGCTTTTTCTCTCTCTCTCCCCCTTTTTTCTTTCTTCTCTCTCTCTCCCCTTTTTTGCCTTTTCTTCTCTCTCTCTCCCCTTTTTGCCTTTCTTCTCTCTCTCTCCCCTTTTTGCCTTTCTTCTCTCTCTCTCCCCTTCTCTTTTTTTTCCTTCTCCTTTCTTTTCTCTCGCATTTCTTCATTTCCTTTTTTGTTTATTTTATTTATTGAATTTAAAATTAAAAACTATGCACCAGATGTGTAAAGAGTCTGCTGGAACCTTATAAGATATGCATAATTCAATAATTTTAATTTAAAGTATATTGCATTGAGTAAACTCAGATTTTACTTGAATTTTTTCTAAAATAAGCAATGAAAATCGATTTTTCCAGTTAATTTTTCAAAATAAAATATTTAAAGAGCGAAAACAAAAAGCAGAGAATAAATAATGAGAGAAAATGGTAATCATGAAAAAAGGAAAATCTCTATTTAACATGTCTTCGGTATAACGGATTTCAGATTTAACGGACTCTATCACAATGCTGTGTGGTACGTGAGCCAGACTTAATTTTTTGGGGGAAAATATAGGTTTGAGATGTGTTCAGGCTTCTAAGTTAATATAAAAGTCAGGCCTGGTTTAATCACAGTTTTGGCTGGTTATGGAATATTTCGATACAGTTTTCCTAAACAAAAGAAATAATGAATTATGATTCAACTGCGGAAGACGGACATTTCTTCCGCAGTTAATGAGCTAATAATATTCATATCCTGACTAATTTAAAATTACTTTATTGACTTATCCTATCGAAGAATGTAAGCTTTTTTTATTATGACAATTAGTAAAAATGTCACCTAGTTTATATTTGTATTTAAAACTTTCAGCATTAATGAGCATCAGTCCTTACATCAACTTTTAGCCCGTTAAATTAACCGCTTACTGTAAGTTAAAATCTTTCAGTGAATTGGAAAAGTAGATAAAAACCAATGTCTGTTATAAAAGAAAACCCTTTTTTGTCCGTCACTTACTGTCTGCACGTAATCATTTTTTTTTTTTTTTTTTGTTATTTTATTGATGTGCATATGTTTGTGTTGTGTGTGGGTGACTTATCTGTACACTTTACACACAGGCACAAATAATTTGACTGAGTTCAAAATAAGACACTCTTAAAATATATTCCCCACCCACTAGGTCTGGACAACCTATATCCTGGACTGAGCAATAAAATAAAGTTAGAGCAGAAAAAAAAAAAAAATTAAAACCCTAAAAAATCAAATAATTATGAAATTTTATTGATCTTTACGTAAATTATTCGGCAATAAAATTATTTTTTTTTAATTTAATTAAAAATTGTAGGAACAGTTTAGATCAACTTCAGCAAAATGAATATAATAATAATAATAATAGCTGGCCCCTCGTTTCGTGGCATATATATTTGCCAGAAAACTGGCACATTTGTATATGTTCAAAACCCACTGTGTCCACCTGAAGTCTACACTAGATGTGAGTGGACCTTAGTTACCGTTTCGGGGGGGGGGGCATAATTTAGAGTTTTGAACAAGCTCCGTACACTAAAAACCTTAGTAGTACTGATAATAATCTGACAAATAATAATAATAACAACAACAATAAAAAATAAAAATGGGTTTCATTAATCTTTAGAGTTGCAATGTCTTTTACTAAATGCGATTGCCGGCATGATTAATTTCCTTCTAATTACCAAAGAATTTTATCCATAGCACTCTAATTTTTCCATTAAACAAAAGTTCCCGGCAGAATGATTATTTGAGCTGGCACTTACTAATTTAAAGAAATTCCCACTGGCGTAACTTTTCCAAGAGAAACTGGATTTGTTACAAAAGATAGTTAGAGATAAATTTAAAATAAGAGTTTGAAAAAAAAAAAAAAAAAAAATTAAAATAAAATACTTTTGGTACATCCAATATAAACGCGATAAACACTGCTAACAAAGTTACAAAATTTGTTACTGCTACCTTATCTATTTTTTTTTAATACTTGCTCAGTTCATTTTCTACCTGTACCAGTAAAAGTTCTGGATTCCTTTAATAATAATAATAGTCTTCTTAGAAGTTCAAATATGTCTTTGAGCCATACCTTATCAAATACTTTTGCGCAGTCTGTGAAACATGGTTATACATTCTCTATTTATTTTTCGCTTTGATTATTTTGAACGTAAATATCGCATTTCTTATTCCAATGTTTCCTAGAATTTGTAGCTCTGAAGTATTTTTGTTTTGAATAGCCTCTATTCACATTGACGTAAAACAATCCCTTCAAGGATAAGAATATCAGATTAATTGCAAAATTTTAGTATTTTTCTTTTAGAGAGCCTATATTCGCAATAAAGAAGACGCGGATAGTGAATCCAGCGTAACGAGTTCAATTCTAGCTCGATACTGTTTTGTTCCGTTTACTTTGCGCTAATGCCCTTAGAAAAGGCATGCCTCCATCTTCCTCTAGGAATATTTAAAATAGTAGAGCAAATTTGGCTCTCTTGTCTTAGGGAATAGCCAATTTAGGAGAAGGAAAACTTTAAATTCAGACTTGTCTGGAGACTTGTAGCACACTGTGCGCCATTTCTCTGTCTATTTCATCCGAAAGGATTTGTTCGTTGTCAGACATCGCAAGCTCGATGACAGTCTCAGCATGAAGTGCATACGTTCGTCAGAATCGGCCAGTCTCTCAAAGCTTTGATCGAGGTGCGTTCGTGATGCAGTCCACGTCTCTTCTTACAGACAGCAACACACTCGATGAGATAAGAGATGTGGAAGAATTTACAAATCTTTGTGACCCCCACAGACTAATCGTGAATGCAGTCAGTTGATGACTTTGATTTCTGAGCGGGTGAAATTCTTTAGACGAATGGTATTTCATGCATTCAACTTTTATGTTTTGAGTTCTTCTCGGCAATAATCTTAAATCAAACGAGCACAGATTATTGTCTGCAAATTTAATTTATTCTATGTCTAGTTATTTTTCTACTAATTTACGCATGTAGTAAAAATGGCGTATATGAAATTGTTATTTTGTCAAATCCTTACTGTCAATGTTTTCACATGTAAGACTTTAAATATATTTTTCCAATTATTAATGGTGTACTTTACTCTCGGGAAGGTTATTTAATGCCGAAATCTAAATAATTTGAACACAATTTTATGACTGTATTGGTGGTTATGTTGGTCTTTTTATATATAAAAATGTATTACTGGTATTTTTACTATTAAAATGTATTTTTATACTTTCATAGTGCTTTTGTTTAGGGGGCTCATTATCTTTCCATAATTGGGACCCTAAAAGGTGCTACCACACCGGCTCAGGGTGGAGCCGGATACAACAGAAATTAAGAGGTGGTTCCACGCTCCTCAAAACCTCCAATATGTTGATTAGAGGCCTTGCTGCCGGGTGTAGTTTATCGTCATACCCAGGACTTTTGTTAGTCAAAACCAGCTAAAAAAAAAAAAAAAAAAATTAGTGTACCGTTATACGTTTGAGAATGATACATAGATATCAAATATAGAGTTCCAATCAACATATATATATATATATGTGTGTGTGTGTGTGTATTTTTAATTAGAAAAAATATCCTCACAGTAATAAATGTTATAACAACATGATTAACCGTACCAAAACAATTTCTTCTTTGGTCGCATTATTTTATAAAGGAGTAAGCAACATAAAACAAACACCTACCAACAATAATTTCTCCAACTGTATCGTCGACAGACAAGTAAAGTTTAAAGAATTTTAGAAAAAGTAACACAAGCTAACATCCTGGTATAAATAAAAATAAATAATAGTTGTACCTTAATAATAAACAAGATGAAAAAATGTGTAATTTGCTGGTACATATTCTCAAGTTCCCAACAAATGCCTTAGACTTATCATTTACTATTAAAAGTTCAAAATGTTTAACTTAGTTTTCATCTATAATTCGGGACATCAAAAATACCCTCTGTGTGTTAAAAAAAAATTGTTCATGACGTTTCATGTCATTTGGGGAAATGCATCTTCGATATCAATAATCAAAAGCAATATTAAATTTTTACATTGGCCACACATGTACCAAACTTTCTCGTGGTTTGACTTTTCGAAATTTAGTTCAATTCATTCACACATCGATCATCACACCAAGAACAACCAAAAATACATCTATTAATATGAGACAAATATTAGCTAATAATAAGATAATAGCAAAATAGTATAAAGTACTCACTGCAAAGAAAGTACTCGAAATCCTAGAAGCCATTATTATATACAAAATTTGCTTTTAAATAAAATATCTTTCAATACAAGGGACAATATCTTAAAATGTACCTAAAATATTTTAATAATAATACGTATAAATATTTGATATCTTCTTTTCTGGTATGATCGAATTCCGTTGAAGAGTTTTACACATTAATTTGAATCCCAGTATTCCTGGATCCAGCGAACATATTAATGACTGAGACGGTTGAAGAAAAAACGAACTCTGGACTGTTTAGCCACCATTTGAATTCTGATGTATAACGTCTTATTTGAAAATTAGAAAAATACAATAAAAAATTAAGCAGACAAGCCTCATCAGTTGAAGTTAGCAAAATTTGTTTGGATGAATTCGTGATCTCTAAGTATACTATACTATACTATACTATACTATATGTATGTGGGGTGAGTGAAAGAGAAATGTGCCACGTGATCGTGTGAAATTAAGCAATCGGCTTACCAGTGGAGGGTTTCCCCAGAAGGGAAGAGTCGCTACTACTTCTCTGAGGAAAACGAGTTGATGTCCCTTCTTTTACAGTGCTGAATAAAATGCCACCTAGCACCTTTAAGAGAAGTCCATTGGCAGACAAGGTGAGGTAATCTCGCAATACATTATCGAATGAGCATTTATTGGCATTAATTCCACTCCTTGATTAGTTCTATGTCAAAGAAGAATTAGAATATTAAGAATATTTTTTTGGCGAGTAAATATTGTATCAACATTTTCTTTTTTTGAGATAACAATGATTTTTACAGATACAAGTCCTACTATTTACTCCATAGGTGTGGAGAGAAGATATGGATTCATACTTTTTCGAAGGATATTTGCCTGTAAGTGAATGTCACGAACTCGTTGTCGTAGCAAGTTGCATTTCACCGAGTCTTTCGTATTTAGAACGTGGCCATACAATGTTCTCTGCGGAACTGCTATTAAAGTATAATTTTAGTTGCTGTGAAAGTACTTTTTAATTTCTTTAGGTTAGTGGGTAGAAAAGATGTAAGTAATTTAAAATTAATTCGTTGTAACGTTTTCATGAGTGTTACAAATTAATCTGACGTGATGGTTGTGATCAGTGAATATTTTCTTATGGCAACAAAATACTGGAAACGGTTGCGTGTATGAGTGAAAATATGTTTTTGTGCTAACGTGGCACAAGAGAAGGTAAAAACGCCAAGTTTTTGAAATTTCAATTCCCAAGGTAATGTTTTAAATTTATTCATATCTTTTAATAATGACTTCCGTATTTCAAAATGTAAAATAATTTTTATGAAACACATGACTACTTTTAAAAGTTGTTCCATATGTTATTAAGAATTTATCAATAGTGTCAAGCAAATATATTCCTGAATAACAAGCGTAACTGTGTGTGTGTTTTTATATAAAATTTCCAATTCAAATCTCTAAAATTGTGAAAACTAAATGACTACAAGAAGTAACATTTTTGCTTTAGTTTATCTGAAATTTATTTTCTAATTTGTATTATGGTTTGATCTGGTAAAATCCGTTCAAAATATTCCCCGAATAAAAGTCATATATCTCTAATGCTGACTACATCCATCTCGCTCTTAAACCAGTTGTTTTTAACCAATTCTTCTCTAACACCCAAACTTCAGATATTTTTGCGGAAAGTCTATGCGTTTCCGGCGCGCAGGTCTACAAAGGCGGTTATCCAATCTCTGTTGCAGATACCTGCTCAGGCACATTTGTGTTCCTATAAAACTCACAGAGCCCACTTTTAATTTATACTGTAACTATGCTGAGCGGATCTTAGTTACAGTTTGTTGGAGAGAACGGATAATCTGATGCGATTAACAGTTTGAACAAGGCCAGTAAGCTCAAACCCTCGTCCATGATGACTTGTAACTTTGTGCTCGCACAATCATCGATAACTTCTGTCTACCAGATTTCACTCAAAAGTCTTTGGTTAACCCGTGGTTTAGTTTTCGAGTACTTTCCAATGGTGCCGAACGCTGGAATAGTCTTCCCAGACCCATAGTAACAAGTCACCTCCTTGACCATAGTGAGATCCGAACGCGATCCTCTGGTCAGAATTCGAACCTTTTAACCACTTGGCGACGCGCAAATGTTACTACAGAACTAGTAAATAGGGTGGCGTTAATAAAGCAGAATTAATGCGACGTGTTTACATTTTGTTGTATCAATATGACAATCTCCGGAAGTAAGCTGTGGCGGTAACAGTCAAGCGACGGTCATCATTTCAGACCATAAAAACAGCCGGACTTTGGCTTGTAGATTTTCAACTCTGTACAAACAGCCACATATTTAAAATGGTTTAAAAATATAAATAAGCACAAAAAGGATAACCAAATATAAATTGTTCTTATTTGTCCCTCTCATGGTTCAAAGGGTTAAATCTTACTGCCCTGTTAAAAACTGTATCACCTCTAAGTCCTCTGAACACTTAATGTCCCCTTTAGTGTTTCATAGGACCTCCTATGGGAGGATTTGCCTCTCACGTTGAGAACCGCTGTACGGGACAAACGGATATAAGATGTCCGCCATATATTTTGGCATTTGAACGGTAACAGCAAGTAGAAAGATTGTACATTTCCAGAATGGCATAGCAATATTTTTCCCGTTGCAAGGAGGGGAAGTTTGAACTCACAAACTCTCCGCGTTCTTGCTGACCTGTTCAGTTTGATGAGAAACAATTGCACGCGCTAATTAAAGAAGAATCCCAGCAAACTGCAAGAGAATTGATTCAAAAGATGACAAGCTCTCGTGTTACTGTCGCTTTTCCTCTTCACTCAATGAGTAAGGTCCATGGACGCCACACGCCTTTTATGTGACATTCTGTCGGTAATAAAGTAATCGCCGTACACAGTACAAATATATCGAAAAACTTTGGCATATTTGTGAGCTTAGTTAAAAACAAAGAAATATCGAACATGCTTATTCTTGTCTACTCAAAGAGGGTATGTAATCTGAAATAAAATTTCAGTAACGTTAGATTCCTATTTCACAGGATGACTAGAGTTATTAAGAATCTACGAAAGATTATTCTTTGAGATCATTCACAGAACAAGAAAAAAACAACGAATATATATATATATATATATATATATATATATATATATATATATATATATATATATATATAACAAATGAAAAAAAGCCTCTGTCGTATAACAATGGTTAGTAATCATGCCTTGCAAACTATTGTCAATATTAATGAATTACCAAAAATTACTTACTTCGAATTAATGGAGGTGTGATCGATTGGTTAGAACGTTATAGTTTCAATCATGAAGCTCGGATCAATTTGTTAAGGAGGTTATCATAATAATATCGGCCTAGGGTGATCGTAGCGTCGGGCATTGTTGGATAGTGCTTGAAAACCATACCAAAGTTTGACTCAAGCCTTGTGAGTGAAATTGGGAAGACTGAACTCTTTGGAATCTGTCGATGGTTGTTGTAGAACGAAGTCATAAGTCATTGTGATCGAGAATGTGAGAGTACTGGCCTAGATGATGATCATGCCAGATTATATTCTCTCTCTCTCTCTCTCTCTCAGTATAAACTACGGTTGGGATTTGGATAAGCACAAATGATACCTGATCGGGCGTCTGCAACAGGGATTTTCACGTCATCTTAGCAGACGGGCATATTCGGAAACGAATAGCCAAGACGGGGCTTTTGACTACATTGTAGTAGGAATGTTCGTTTGTGTTTGGTTAGCGTCTCGAGGTCGGTGAGCTCACGCTAAATGGTGGTACGCTCGCTGCCGTGTGCGTTATTTCTCTTTATTTTTCTTTTCAATTTCTTTTCTTACCTGTTCTCGCAGTCTCTTTAACTTTCGTTGATCATTCGCCATTCATCTCGTTCCTACTGCTTCAGCTGCAGCGTCCTGCTGTCTTAACCGTTTTTCAATGCATAATATTACATAATATCCTTACTTTTGTGGTTATTATCACGGCCTTTTAGTAGTTGTGCCCATCGGACATCTGGTGTCGTTTGAACCAGTTAAACATCAGGAAATTTCAAACTAAACCTGTTGTTTAATCTACGGGAGTAGAGTGTTCTTGATCCGTTTTTTTATCTAGGAATATCTTAGTTTGTTCTCTATTTTTACCCACTAACAGTTATTCCTCGTCCTGTTTCCATTGTGTCTGAATGTGTAATACCCGGTTCAGATTGAGCTCACAATTAGAATACCATTTTATTCACAATCCAACGCTTTATCGTCTGTTGGACAATCCTGAAGCGAGAACATGGGAACTTAAACCTAATGTTCTTATTGCCTCCTTTGTTGCCGCTGAATAAGACCAGAGAGTTCAAACGTTGTGAGAGTAACAACAAAGATAAGGTTATTAGTTTCATAGAAATTCAGAAATAGTCAAAAATTTAAGTTACAAAATAAATGGAAAGCTGATTCTTTTCTAGCCTTGTAAAATATACCAAGTAAAAATAAAATTACATATGATGAGGGTATTTATATCAGTGCTGACTTTTGACAATCAGCTACCGGGAGTGGTATGACGAAACGAAAGAAGAATTTGATAGAGGATAACGCGTATGCAAGCAGTCTTGCCATTATGACGTCAACTTTCTTGGTTTCATCATATTATTTCAAGATATTTGAAAAGTATTTTTTTAAAAAGTACTTGATTACGTATGTAGGAATGAATTAAGACTGGTACAAGGCCATAAATTGGTATTTCTCCACCCTAAGGATCAAACTCGTTTTAATAATAATCATTCGTACTAAGCAAGTTTCTTAATTATTGATTCGCGGCAAAGCGTCAAATGATATTTTCTAAACGTAGGTAAGTAGAGCGTGAGGCCACAGATATGGGACATTCAATGAGAAATCGAACTCACTCGTAGTAATAGTTCTGAATACGTATTTTCTAAAAGGATTTTTGTTAAGCTAAATCACAGTAAGAACCGAATTTATTTCATTATTAATGATCTACAAAGCGACTGTAATTATATAGGTTATTCAAAATAACTTTAAGCTTGCAATAGAATGATTCAATATTGAGTCACTCGGCTTTGTTCGTGTAACATCTGCTTTAAACAAGCAAAAGTCGTGCATTCTGATGAGCAAAATGTCAGATGAAGAGTATATTTACTTCCTCTTTCTCGCCCTGTTGGTTGGGCTCAAGAATACGCCGGCTGCATCACCGTGCAGAAAGATAACCTTTAATAAAAAGGAGCAACCTATTTACTCCACCTATGGCTACCTCTTTTTTTCCTCTCGTGCAAACCAAGCCTCTACCCTTTTATAGTTTATCAAAACGACGAAGTTCGGTATTAATTAACCTGGAAAAGATTGATATGCTGTAAAACAAGGAAAACAATTTTTTTTTTCATTGTGGGTTTTCATGATAATGGTAATTTTTATGCTTTTCGTCTTTACACCCATCATCTGATGATTATTCCTGGAGCTTAAGAGATAGAAAGTCTCATCAAATTTCCAGAACTTTCCCCAGTACTCTGTCATGTTTTAAGTACTGTCAAACACCACGAAACTTAATTTCCTTCTATTTAGTCTAATTATAAAAGTTGTGGCTTTATGTCTCGTAGTTATTTCTGTTCTCAGGCTCTTATTTTTTTTTATTTCTTCAAGATTCACTTTGTAATCTGCCACAATTTAATAACATCTATCTATCTATCTATCTATCTATCTATCTATCTATCTATCTATCTATCTATCTATCTATCTATCTATCTATCTAATAAACTATTCGGTTTGATTTGTCGAAATTCAGTGTCCTAGTGTTTTCATTTCCTTGGTCAACTCTTGGTTTATGCTATTTTATTTTATTGCGCATTTTCGCATCAGAGGTATCGGATGATAGTCACTAGTCAAGTGACATTTATGTGCCATGCGTCATACACGCTTAGGCGATCATGACTGACGAGGCAGATTTTTCCCGCAGTAGGTTGCTATTACTTTCTGTAGACCAGATGCCATTCAAGGCTATAGAACGCGGTCTGTCCAGCTATTTACCCATAGCTTTAAGGAGATGAGGATTCATATTGGAATTCGAACTCTGCAATCTGATTCCTCAATCCGAGCCACTATCCATTACTCTGCCGTGACAGCAGGCATCTAACATCCATGTAATTTCCAGCATACACTTTAATATTTTTAAAGGTTTATTTTATGATCAGTATGATCAGTTCTTCAGTAATAGTGTACACTATTATTATTATTTTCATATTTCGATTTTGCATTTGAGCTGAAAGAAATTTCGTTTGAGATTCTCTTTTTGTTTACAGTGTTTAGCATTTCAAAGCCCTGAAAATTCTACATCTGTATTTATAGCAACGGTTTTTACTTTGTGCTTCTATTATTAAAGCCGCTTGCACAGTTACCAGATAAATTCTGTTCCTACACCACATATGTGCTATATGATCATAAAGTAATTTACTTATTAAGATTGGTAGTTTAATTTCTTTCTTTCTTTTTTTTCAGAAGCGATATTTGTTAACATTTTAATTATTAGCAGACAAAGCAGCTTCTGGTGCCGCATAATCCAAAAGGCAAAGACTTTGGAGGTTTTGAGGGATGTGGAACCACCTCGATTGCTGCTGTTCCCAGGTCCACCATGACTCAGGGTTGTAGCATCTGTTAGCGTTCCAGCTGTGGGCAAATAGTTAACCCCTAAACAAAACACTACAAATGTATAAAAATACAGTTTTATATTACCAACAATATTCTGTCTATATTTCTGAGATGAGGTATTATGTACAGTATTTACATTAGTCGGACTATTGTCCTCATCTTTGAACTTGAGGACACATGGCACAGTGGATAAAGGCGTTGATCCAGTGACAGACCCAAAGAAGGTGAGTTCAATACCTGGTTAAGGCAGTGGAGAACTTTCAGAGGGAAAAAAAATAACTGATAACTGACATCCATCAAACATGGTACGTGGAACTAGAACAGTCTACCTCGGTGATCGAAATAAAGGGTTCAGTTCGAAATTCCAACCACCTGAAGAAGGCCGGAGTGTACAACGGCCGAAACGTTGTGACAAATATGGCGACAAAGATGAGGACAATAGTCCGACTAATGTAAATACTGTACCAACAATATATTTTATCTATAGTTGAAGGCATTCAGTAGTGTTCAAAAGATTTAGATATCGGCATTAAATAACCCATAGTCGTTGATATGCCGCTAAACAAAATCAACCAAAAAACATGAAAAGAATTCTTTCAGTTCTTTCTTAACCCATATAATATCCTATAATAATTAAAGAAATCAAACTGTATTCTGAAACCTAACTTCAACAAAACTACAACGTAAAACACACATATCACTGCCTTTAGTAGATATGTCCGCACAAACATGTTTATGCACAAAAGCTGAGTATCATCTACCATTTATTCAATTGTGAAAGCAGAATAACATATATCATATTTTTATTACTTCAAAGCTCCCAAGAAAATTAAATTTCGGCATTAAATGAATCGTAAGGAGTCTATATGCCGTTAAACAAACAAAACAAATAAACTCTTTTACTTTTAGTATGTCGTATTAGTGTAAAATACTCTAAGCTCGCTTTCTTGATTATGAGTTCCGGAAATTTCAAGTTTTGATTTTTGCAGTGGAGATTAACGGGGAAAATCTCTCATTCACCGCAAACAAAATCACGCACATTGTGTAAAGAATTACTTTGCTAATCTTAACAAATGATTGAGTTTAGAATTACTTTCTAACTGAAGAAAGGTAGAGAAAACTCTTATTGAAATATCATTGTTTTGTACGCGTGTGTGTTGATCGACTAATTATAACTTTTCTACGATTACACTATGTAATAAAAACATGTTTCATTTGATTTTTTTTTCATATATCCTGTATTTTCCGACATGCTGATGGTAGAATTCTTTCATAATAACATCAATATTTTGTCAATTCCATCAAGAATCACTTTGTCATATGCAACTTTGTTTGTCCATATATTTTTCCATTGGCTTTATTACATTAAATATTAAACTTCGCCTGATAAAAAATAAAATCGTCATAGGCTTCGGATGCGATCTAGCACTATGTCGGAATAAGATCAATGTTTCCGTAGATATCAGACGCGGAAGTTGTTGCTGATATGTTTGTTCGACCACAAGGGAAGCAGATACTTGGATACAAAACTAAAGATGAAAATAACTGGTAGAAAAAAAGAGGTTGAAATATATTCAAGAATGTTGACAGTGGGTTTCTGGGTAACAACAAAGCGGCTAGTTACAAGGCTCTTATTGAATAACTGTTTGAAAATGACCCTAAAGTTCTTGCCTTATTTGCGTTCTCATTTGAAATTCTTCTAAATCGTGTCGGGAGAGTATATCGATTTCATCAGGGCATACAGTTAGAGAAGCGATATCAGGGAAGGTGGGGTGAAGCGATTATGTGTGACACGTATGGAATTTGGTTCGAGATCATACAACAACCGACGGTCCAATCCTACCTTTTCAGGTTGCATTAAGCCGCCCGAGAAATTAGTTTTTTTTTTTTTTTTTTTTTAAGAATTATGGTTTGTTTGCTCGTTATATAATTTCTTCTTATATTATTATATAATATCTCATTGCATTGATTGCATTATTATAATAAATATTGTTTTCAAGTTTTATAGGCTTATGACCATATCATGTTAGAGCACCGATTCTCATACGATCACCGAAGTTAAGCAACATCGAGCAGTACTTAAATGGTGAGGGGGGGGGGAATACCAGGTCTTGTTAGCTTGGATATACGAGTGGTGTCAGGACGTAGATCATGGATCTCCACTACCTCTACCCCTTGCAGCTTTCAACAAGTTTCTTTATCTGCTGCCTCCCCCAGACCACGTTGTTATCCACTTGCTTAAGCTCGCTAGGTATATCATGCGTTGTTTTCCATTGTCTCTCTTTCCGTCTATTCGACCCGTGAGTATCAGATTCTCCAGGCTCTTCTTCCTCATTATGTGTTTCAGAAACTTCAGCTGCCTCTTCCTGATGTTAAGCATAAGGCCCCTCCTTGTTTTCATCCTCTCTAAGACCTCATCGTTGCTCACACGCTCGGTCCATATCCTTAGCATCCTTCTGTAGAACCACATCTCCATCGCCTCGAGTCACTTCTTCATCTTTGAGGGAATCGTTCAACATTCGCTGCCTTAAAGAAAACCAGAATAGATGGACAGATGTCACGTAAAATATCCGAATTCCAATTGGGTTGGTTATATTCACTTATGGTTCATTTCCGCCCACTCATAAGTTAATTAGTAGAGCCTGTATCAGTAAATCGTTATTATTTTCAAAAAAATTTTAAAATCTAAAAACATTTTCTGGATTTAAACGGTTGATAAGCCGTAAAAATCAAATCAATCAAATTTTATGCACATCTTTGTTGGTCTCGAAAAACTGATTTCCATATTAAATATGTAAAAATTGATAGAGACGCAGAGAAACATACGCACAAAACGAACCAACATACTGGAAATAGAACTTTAATAAAATCTTAATGCCTACTGTAACCGATATTTCTTCATTTATGACTTTAGAATGTTGTAAATTCTGATTAAAAAAAAAAAAAAAAAAAACGTTGGTAGAAAAGAAACGTCCATATTTGTTTTGATTTGCTTCATGAAGCTAACAGTAGTTAAATAGGATTATCAGGTTTCAGTTGAAAAAAGATATCACTGTCAAGGAACTGACGCTGCAAAAGAAACGCTCTATTTACAACTCGTATCAGTTTATCGGCTGTTCTGGTCGTTTTTCGGTGGTCTCTTTATATCTCTTAAGGGAGGAAAAAGGGCAAAGCGACATAGTAATGACTAACAAAACAAGAGTTCTTGCAATTATCACTACAAATGTACATTCGGCTATAATTTTATGTGAGACTATCAATAAAAAGTTAATTTACCATATTAGTCATCCATTTACAGTCTGTAGAGCTGGTAAATGGACGACTATTAGTTCTTTAGATACTGTATCGCTTCAGGATTGGACGATCATGGCTCTCCACGACTTCGTAACCTTTGTAATTCTAAAAGCAATGTTTGTCCACTTACTATCCATCCACGCCCCTGTTTCGCTATCCATTTACATAAGCTTGATGGGTAGGTAGGTTATCGCTGCTTCACTTGCTTTCTATATTTCATTCGAGTGTCAAGTTCTCCAAACATATTTCCTTAATATGCGTCCCAGAAATTTCAACTCTGATTCAATGTGTCCTTTTCCTTTTCTTTAACTTCCTGATTGCTTATATTCTCCGTCTATGGTAATCTTTCGTAGGACCACACCTCTGTTGTTTCAAGTCTCTTCATCTGTGAGGAAATTGTGTAGCAATTACTGTCATATATGAGGATTAATATTACGTAGTAGATCCACACTAAATATTTATTTATATTCGTATTAAGAGTAAATGAGAAAGTGAAATTGTTTTTGATTTGCTTACTGTTTTAAATAAGATAACCTTTATAATGTTAAGACAGGGGAACTGTCAGCTTTTGGAATTATCAAAGATGTTTTATAGACGCTTGAAGATAACTCGAAGATAAATAAAAAAAAAAACCCGGTAGGCATTACGGGCCAATATCGGAGTCAATATGTTATAAAATTGCATCTATATATTCCATATAAGGAATCTTTCTCTGTGTGTCATTCATGCATGGGCGATCATCACCCTCCACAGCTGCCTTTCTTCTGTTGCTTCCAACGTTATTTATTCATGTATGAATACTTTTCATTTATGTGGTACTCGTTTCTAGGTCCATCTGCCCCCATATATATATA